CGATTTTGAATCAAGTGTCTCAGACTGCCCGGATTCTGTGCGGCAGTGCTCCGATTTTCTTATAAAATACGCATAATCCATATAGAAGCGCGCACACCCATTTGTTACTGCATACACAATATACATATATAGCAGAAAACGCAGAAATAGCCGTATTTTGATCAATTCAAATAACACCCCATCAATGGATGACGAATTGGAAGACAAGATCTTCTATCAGACATACGTATCGCATATGAAAATTCTATCCAAGTTCGCAGTGGGCTTCTCGTCCATCAATTCGCCCTTGGCATATCTATGGAAACTATGTCGTCTCTACGTGCTCCGGCCCGAGGTCATCTTCTGTGGCATCATTTTATTTGTCTTGTTGATCTATTTGCAAGCGGTAGATGTCTGGAGTCGCAGCATATTGGGACGCATCCAGGCTACGCTGGGGCGACAGAAGGCGCCACGTGCCATTGACATGACGGGCGGCGCCGGCGATCACCAGAGCTGGGAGGAGGTGCGACAACAAAGTGCCGCTTTCGCTGTGCTAGGTCGCCGACCGCACATGGAGGACAGGTGAGTGTGTGACCTAATCAAGCTGTGCTTTATATTAAATTGAACTCATCTAATGTGCAGATTTATCATTGAGGAGAACATCAACAACAACACGGACATTTCGTTCTTTGCCGTTTTCGATGGACATGGCGGCGAATTTGCCGCCAACTTTGCCAGAGATGTCTTGGTCAAGAACATCTACAACAAGATAATAGAGATTAACAAGCTCTTAAAGAGCGAGACCCTAAACGAGTACACTGGCTACGATAACAGCCCGTATCTGGCGCGGAAGCAGAGCCGCAAAGATGTGTCCAACAAGGAGAACGCTGAGCCCGCCGTCGCACGCCGGGACAGTTTGCGCAAGGCGAACAGCTTGACAGCGGATTGCAGCGCAATTAAACAAAAGACAACAGAGGCAACTGTGGCCGACATCTACACAGCGCAGCTAAACAGCGCGATGCGCGCCAGCGGCAACAGCGCGGCCAAAGATGCATTTCTCAATAACAACAATAACGCGCAGAACTCCGGCAATGCGCCGCCGCCTAGCTACGACGCCAAATGCTATATCGAAAATGGACGCATCAATTTTGGCAAGCTCATCACAGACGAGATAATGTCAGCCGATCATAAGCTGGTCGAGCAGGCCAAGCTCGCAGTGAGTATAACATATGTTGCACCGAACATATGTTGCCAAAATTATCCTTACTTGCTATTTGCAGACGAACATAGCCGGCACCACAGCATTGATTGCGATTGTGAAGGACAGCAAACTGATTGTGGCCAATGTGGGTGATTCCCGTGGCGTTATGTTTGATGCACGCGGCATTGCCATACCATTGTCCTTTGATCATAAGCCGCAGCAGGTGCGGGAACGCAAACGCATACACGATGCTGGCGGCTTTATTGCCTTTCGCGGCGTTTGGCGCGTGGCTGGGGTCTTGGCCACGTCACGGGCGCTGGGTGATTATCCCCTTAAAGATAAGGTAAGCCGTTCGCCATATACTGATGGCGTGACGGGAAATTCTCACGTCACATCTTTAATATATACATAGAATACTAATGCTAATCGGCCTACACGTTTTACTACCCATACACAGAATCTAGTCATAGCTACACCGGACATTTTGACCTTCGAGCTAAATGATCACAAGTGAGTACAGCTGCCCTGGATTTGAATTTGTTAAGTTAATGAACTTGTTTTTATTGCGTCATCTGTATTGGCAGGCCGCGTTTTCTAATACTCGCATCGGACGGCCTTTGGGACACATTCAGCAACGAGGAGGCCTGCAGTTTTGTGCAGGATCATCTCAAGGAGCCAGACTTTGGGGCCAAGTCACTAGCAATGGAATCGTATAAGCGCGGCTCTGTGGACAACATCACCGTATTGGTAATTGTCTTTAGGAACGACGTCTACAAAATTTGCAGCTCATCGGCTGGCAAAACGGGCGACGCTCCTTTGGCCAAATCACCGTCTGTGAAGAACGTCCTCGACCGCTCGAATTCGATCAAAACCAAGTGACGGGACTGCTCATATACAAAAATGCTCTTAGGCCTCCCTGCCCTATTTAAATAGCAACCTAATAAAGTGCCCAAAATATTTATTAATAAGCATTCGCGATGCTTTTGTACCGTCGCCAGCACGAACTATTTTTGTTTAATGCTGACTCAAACTGGGTCGTTTTATATTGTTTTCGCATTAGGATTTTTACAAACTATTTAAAATTGTTAATTTGTACAAATTGTTTAGCCACATCTCACGTCAACGCACCTTGTTAACCTCAATTTCCTGTACACCACTCATCAAGCTCATAAATATTTATTTAAATTATTTTTGTTATGCACTTGCATTTGTAAACCAAAACAATTTTTTCGAACTTATAAAAAAGTTTACAAATAAAATGCCCAAAAAGTTTACCCAATTGTTCAATTTTAAAGAATTTGTTGAGATGTGATTATTTTTGAAAATATTTCTGAATATATAAATTAATTAGACTGTGCGCTCTGTTCTCTGGGGCTTAAAACCCATTTTTTCAAATGATCCCCTCTGGGAACAAAGCGTTCCAATTTAATGAACAAATCGAATCCGTCTGGGATTTTATATACATATTCCCAAAGCACTAAATCGAGCGCATATTAATTGTTATTAACAATTGTGCATGATAATACGACAATCGGAAATCTTCGCCCATATCCCAATTTTAATAACAAAACATTTAATTAATTTTTACAAGTGTCGCTTTATATTTATTGTTTTGGCATAAAAAACAAATCAATTTGCAATCAATTAATACAGGCTATGTCAAATATAAAGTCCGTTTAGTGAGCTGATACAGACACTTGCCAGACGCGGATGGTGTTGTCGGAGTAACCGGCGAACAGGGTCTGTCCATCGGTGGACCAGGCCAGGGAGAGGCACTGGGGCTGCTCGGCCTTTGATGTTTGCGAGACGACCTCAGGGCGGAGCTCCTCGACGGTCTTCTTGCATGCCAGATCCCAGATCTTGATGGATGGGCCATAGGCGACGCACAACCAGTAGCGGTTGGGCGAGAAGCACAGAGCATTGATGATGTCGTTGTGCTCCAGGGTGTACAGGTTCTTGCCGTCATTCAGATCCCACAAGAGAGCCTTGGAGTCCTTGCCACCAGAGGTGCAGAGCGAGCCATCGGGCGAGACGGTCACAGTGTTCAGATAGCCGTTGTGGCCATGATGATTGTTCTTCAACTTGCAGTTGGCCAAATTCCAGACCTTGACGGTGCGATCCCAGCCGCAAGACACAATGATGGGATTCGAGTGGTTGGGCGAGAAACGCACGCACGACACCCAATCAGTGTGGCCATCCTCCTGGATGGTGAACTTGCACTCAGCCAAAGTGTTCCACAGCTTGATGGTCTTGTCCCGAGAGCCCGACACGATCTGACGGTTATCAGCCGAGAAGGCAACCGAGAGAACATCCTATAAGCAAATAACAAGAGCATATTAGCTGATGAATCCCTAGTTTAGTGGATGTAGTCAATATGAGCAGCGGGTAGATCTTTTTGCCTACTTACGGAAAGGCTTCACGCAAAAGTGTGTCGACTCAGGCGTAGAGAAATGTACAGATGTCAACCAGTAATTCTGCCTCGCATAGGCGCAATATATTTTTTTCTATACATATATGTATATGTATAGTGGTATTGGTGGTGTGCTAACTGAGCCTAACCTTACGCTACGGGTCATGGATACACCAATACCATTTGGGTTGGGAGTTGAGAGAGCAGCAGAGTAAATGCTGCGGCAATTCTGAGCCCTGTGCTAAAACATATCACTTGGAAACTTATCCCACCTTGGTGTGTCCCTCGAAGCGACGAGTAGTCTTGCCGGCAGCCAAATCCCACAGGCGCAGAGTCTGATCCCAAGATCCGGACAGAGCGTAGTTGCCGTCGGACGAGAGCACAACATCGCTGATGAAGTGGGAGTGTCCGTACAGACGCTTCTGGGGATAGCCGTAGTTGGTATCCTCATCACGGGTCAACTTCCAGACAATCAAAGTCTTATCTGTAAAACCATAAATATATTCATTAATAAAACATTTAATATTTACAGATATTGCAGAGATGTCGAAGTTATAGGCCGATTTTAAGGACGCCACCTAACCTCACAATTGTTAAGAATACTTGCCACGCGATGCCGAAATGATGGTATCGGGATCCTTGGGGTTGGTGGCAATCTGGGTGACCCAGCCATTGTGGCCGATCAGCGTACCACGCAATTGCAATGTCTCAGACATGTTTTAATATAACTTATAAAATTGCAACGGGAGCGCTTTTGACACACGTCCAAAGGCGCTGCAGGCTGGCAGAAAAAGAGGCGGAAGCGTCCAGTGTTGTGCAACATAAACAATCGAACGTCTCTGCGATATTATTTACAGAGCTGTCATTAAATGGAATTAATCGATAGATCAACAACTTAGTTTCGAATGTAGTATTTTTTTAGTATTATAGTACGGCCACACTATTTGACATCTTAGGTCAATGTAGCCCACCGGAGCCCAGAATATAAATATACCCACACACAAAATGAGCATAGCACAACAGGAACAAGCTGGGACTAATCCCCGCAATCCCCATGGTCTGGGTAAGGTGTGCAATAACACAATACCATACAGCTATTCATTTTGGCGCCGCTTACAGGTGATCCGAATGACACAACGTTGCGCAAGGTAGAGCGCGAAGTGCTAATACCAAAAATAATGAGGGATCGCGCGCGCGACGAATTCTGCACCAAAGAGGTGGCAGACTTTGAGGAATGCTGTAAGGCGAGCAGCATATTCATGGTGGCCACCTGTCGGAAACAGAACTCGGCGCTAAGGGATTGCCTGACGCGTTGGTATCAAAACGAAGCCTTCAAAGAAGAGTGCAAAGCCATCTATCTGCAGGAGCGAGCAGATTACCGCAGCACGGGCATACCCAAGAAGCACCGTGTGGAGAAAATGTAGTTTAGGCTTGTTATTGTTTTTGTTTACTTTGCACAAAAGATGTGTAGTTAAAGCGCCGTATCACAGTCTCCTCAATGGTCAGGGATTGCAGGCTTGCCGGCGTGCACAGCGCAGGATCAAAGTCGTCGTTCAGCTGGTTCAGCCTGAGTATGAGCACATCCTTGTCCGAGGTTTCGGCAACACGCTGAACACCCTTTAAATTCTTCGCCACGTAATGGGTGTGCATTGCGTCGCCCGACACCTGAACCAGCACCAAGAAACTGGCGTGATATTGCCGCGGGCCCTGCTTGTAGATGACTGTGGAGAGATGATGCCAAATGGAACGCTGTTTAATTTGCAGCTGTTTCTAGCAAATAACTTACGAAAGTCGCCACCAAACTTGATGCCACTCTTGATAATCCAATTTTTCGATTTAAGATACAAATACGAAGCCAGTTTGTAGATAAATTGTCTGTCATAATCCAGCGCCGCTTGCACGTACGCTTGCCAGCTTAGCTCGTTGCCCAGCATATCCCGAATCTCCAATACGCCCAAATAGTAGCCCAGCAAGCATGCCTCCTCCAGGCCGAGCAGGAGCGTCTCATCGGCCTCTCCAGAAACTGGTCCGCCGCGCGAAGCACTTCCCTTGCCATAGCAGCCGTTGTCGTGTAGCGTCCTAATCGGCGCGTGCTGGGCATCTACTACCTCTACGCAGAGGCCATTGAAGGCGCCTTTATAGCGTTGTCCATCATCTCTTAGCGGAAAGGGTGCAAGTTTGAGCACTTCTTTGCAGCTACTTCGCTTGCGCTTTAAATGCGGCGTGAATTCCATAAGTTTGGGTTTTGCATTTGGCCAAAAGCTGCAATGTTTATAGCCGGATGACACCTGATTTGATTTGTTTGTTACTGGATAGGCGGAGAACCACGTTTGAGCTTAAATAAAATGTGTACAAATGAGAGGATGTTTGGATTACAGCTGATTGTTATTAATACGCTCTTGTGGAAATCGAACAATATTACGCAGTGTTAAAATGAATTTCATTTTTCTCTTATTCGCCGCAAAAATGATGACAGCATTGACGTGTCACCACAGCATGAAGTTTGCCATTCACATCAAATTGCCAACACATAACAATTCGCGCCGTGTGGCAACGCTTGAGCGCGGCGAACACGGCGAATAAGTCACAAGACCAGTCAGCTGAATTTCGGTGCTGTCGCATTAGTGTGAAAAGACACTCGTAATTTAAATATATTTTTTCCCAGATATTTTTATTGAAATTGTGTGCAAACGCGCGCAACAATCCACATATTGCGTATCACTCTCGACACACTATAAACAGCGATCAAAATGACTACCGCACTGTATTTGCCCGAGGAAAACATCGGTAAGAACCAACATGCCAGCCAGCGCGAGCAGCTGACCTCTGTGAAAAATCGAAGTGGTGCCAGTGCAGCTGCCCCGCGGGCACCAAGTCGCATTTAATGGTTAACTGCAAGTGCCTTTGCATTCACAGACATGATTGCTGCCACTTCGGTGCTGCAGCAGCAGGCAGCCGATATACGGACCAAGACGATCAACTGGGCATCGTATATGCAGTCGCAGATGATCAGCCAGGAGGATTTTCAGGCAATTAGCGCGCTGGACAAATCGCGCGCCTCCTATTTGGCACAGAACTCTACGCAGGTGGTTAAGACGCTGTTGAATCTGGTCTCGCACCTGTCCAAGGACTCGACAATTCAGTATATACTCGTGTTGCTGGACGATCTGCTGCAGGAGGATCGCTCTCGTGTCGATCTGTTCCACGAGACTTCCGGCAAGTTGAAGCAGTGCGTCTGGGGTCCGTTCTTGAACTTGCTTAACCGCCAGGATGGCTTCATTGTCAACATGGCGTCGCGCATATTGGCCAAGTTTGCCTGCTGGGGCCACGAGACCATGCCCAAGTCCGACCTCAACTTCTACTTGCAGTTCCTCAAGGACCAGTTGGCCACCAATGTAAGTAAGCCCCAGCACTAGCGATATAACCATGCCCATTCCCACTTCCAATTGCATGTGTATGTTGTAAATAGAAACCCAGTCAGCTACACTATAGGACATCTATAGACATCTCTACGAATATATAATAGCATGCAGCATGACATTATTTATATATTCTAGGCCTGAATCAATATTTATTCTGAGCGATACTAGCAATCGTTTGTAGTTGGGACAACAGTTTATTCCTATATACAGTGAAAACAGTTTCAAATGGACAGCTGCAGCGCTTGCATAGCTAAGGAACATATAAAGATGAACATGAATATTCAATTAAACTTGGCTAAAGGTTTTTTATTTATAATTTCAATTTGGTTTAATGTCAAATTTGACTATAATTGATTTTGGTTAGATTTGATTACCTTCTCAAGTGTTTGCCTTAAGGGGCTGTTCCGTTTAGAGAGCTTTCACTGTATATTGAAGAATATGTTTTGGCTATAAATTGATTAGACAAAGAACAATGCAGTCACTCCCAACATCTAATGTCAGCATCGTAATCAACGGTATATTATAAAACATATTCAACTTTGAAATAACGACAAATCCCCAACGAATTACTTAGTATTAAAGATACGACAGTAAAGTATTCTAAGCATGACTCCCTTGCATGTCTTCATGTTTACAATTAGAAATAAGAAATTGAATATAGAAATTGGCAGCACCATAATTATAATATATCTATCGGGATGGAACATAAAAAATAGATAAGATATGGACAACCGATTCATATGTCATATATATATATAAACTTTGCTCGATTGCCTGATTAGAAATTGTATTCTATTCTCATTTAGTCTGGTTAGTTCTATGGCAGCTATATAATAAGTATTCTCCAAGTTAGTCATATAAATATTGGAACTCGAGTGTGTTCAATTCTAGCTGGGGTCGTTTATCGACCAATTGCTTCTATTGATGCAATTTACATCTTTCATTTCAAATGGAAATGATGTTCTTATAAGGAATTCTTATTGATCGTAGTATATGAGACATAGTTCTACAATGTGTCACCAATTTTAGCTTGGAAATTAAAGAACTTTCCTTTTAATTGAGGCTTTTGCTCTGCAACGGTTGCATTTTGGACAAAGTTTGTTTTTGCTTCAAGCTGGAGCTATGCTAAGTAATAGCAAATGGTTGTATAAATTCAAAGCACAACCAACAGTGCTTCCCGTTGACCCTTTATTACTCTCACTTGACAATTGATAATTGCACTTAACAGAAAATAAACTGCACGCTTTTCGTTAACTTTGCTTGCTTTACAAATTGTACCTACCCCAAAAAAAAAACGTCCAATGTTATGTCCAGGCGTGAAAACTCTAAAAATGAGCCTTAAAATAAGCGTTAACGTCAGCGCCAGGCAAACAAAAAACTTAGCTAAACGTATATAAAACTATTTATATATATATATATAAATTTCCACATTTTTTTTATTTTTATTATTTGTGTAACTTAACGCGACCTTGCCTGACCCGGCCGTGATTAAAATATCTTTTCATTCTATTCGTGTGTTGTGTACACGATTCTATCATAAGATTTCATCGTCACCAACGGTTGAACAATCCAATTAATAATGTTGTTGCGAAAAGTTAAAAACAAAATATATATTAATATAATAAGTATATTATTAGTATCATCGCACCGCATCGAACGCATTCACGTCTACTGTGTGCAACTGATCCTCCACCAACTGCACCAACTGCACCAAAATCAAATAAAATAATCATATTTCGTTTAGTCGTTACGATTTCTGTTCTTACCTGCGTCAAAAGTCAACAAACATCAAATTTACCTGTTGCACTAATTTCGTTTTGTGAAACAAGCCTACTATTTTATGTATTTTAATTTAATGCCAATTTACTATTCAACAAAAAAAAAAACCTCAACAACAAAAAAAAAAACAAACAAACGCAACGAATCAAATTGTTGACTCAACACCAATAACCGAATAACCAACCAACAACAAACACGAACTCGGCGGATGTTGCGCGCTGATCCACCCGTCCCGATCGATCGACCGACCGACCGCCCGCCCCACGCACGCACGCCCTCTGACCCACACTCTTAGAGCACTGCCTATCTGCAAGAGATGGCCCTGATGGCCAAGCGGGCGCAAACGATCATTGTGCATACGCATGGACAGCATGGCAAAGATCATCATGGCCACAAGTACAGTCCCAATGTGGCCCAGATGCAGCAGCGTCACGATCTGGCCAATGAGAGTTACCGCGAGGTGCGATCCTCCTCCTCCTCCGATCAGCAGCAGGATGGCAAATGTGTTATACCGGTATTCCAAAATGCAGCCCAAAAACTATCCAATCACTCACCCAACCAAACACACACACACACACGCACACACTCACACAGACAAAAATACACAAGCCAAATATTAAGAAACTACCAAAACACAACCAAACCTACACCACACACACACACACACACACACCTACACACACTCGTTTATGCTTTAGAATATTATGAATACGATATGCAGTTGGTCGTAAAAACATGTGCTACGATTTCGCATTAATTATATCCAATATCGTATATATCTATAATCGTAAAACCCAATGTGAAAATATCGTATTTCATTTTTGCTTGAATGCTCTTCAAAATCTTTATCATTGTGCAGATAATTCCGATTGCATATAGATACGCTTGAGCTATAATTTCTTGAATATTTGAAACACATTGGAATGCATTGTACTTGCTTTTGAATTTGAAATTATTTATTTAAACAAACATTCTTCAAAAGTACCACATTTGGGATCAAGATGATATTGGCTTATAAAGCGTACGATCTTAACTTAGGTTGGCATATGCAAAGATAATAACTTCTGAAAATAGGAATCGTATCGTAATATCGTAATTGAATATCGTATTCTCTGAACTGCATAAACGTTGTGTGTGCGCGTGTGTGTCTGTATATATACCTTATCAAAAGATAACTGTTTACTAACTCCACTAAATATCATCGATCTAAATTGAAGACGAGCAGCAGAGCAACAAATGTATAATACGTTAAATGATCTATGTTAAACGGTAACGGTTAAGGTAAAGGTAAATTTAATTAAAAAAAAAAAAAAAACAAACAAGAAAAAAACCCGGTGAAGGTGTGAACGCAAACACAAACAAAAACAAACTATTGTCATGCCCATCGTATGTGGATTACCATGCAGGACTGCGATTTCTGTCTTATTTACTTATCTATTGTTTTATTTTATTATATATATATTTTTTTTTTGGTTTATTTAGAGCACACCCTGTCTGTCTCTTCCACTCTTTATTATGTAGCTGTAGTAACTGTTGTGTTGCTGTTGTTGTAGCGCATAGTCGAAACAACTACGGTTGGTCAATTAGCAAAAAATCTGCAAAATCAAAAACAAAAACAAAAAAAAAAATGTCATAACTAACTCGCTACTAAAAAAGCAAAAATCAAATACATACATAGAAAAGCTCTGGTATCGGAGCAAGCTAGACCCATATTGATAATGCCTGTGTTGTGCCTCCACAGAACAACGAGTACATCCAGTCGGTGGCGCGCTGCCTCCAGATGATGCTACGCGTGGATGACTATCGGTTCGCGTTTGTCAGCGTCGATGGCATTAGCACTTTGATACGCATCCTGTCGACGCGTGTCAACTTTCAGGTGAGTTTGAAATTGAAATATGTAAATTGTTTGGTACAATTTAAATTCGATTTCTTATTCATAGGTGCAATACCAGTTGATCTTCTGCCTGTGGGTGCTCACTTTTAATCCCTTGCTGGCGGCCAAGATGAACAAGTTCAGTGTCATACCCATATTGGCTGATATATTGAGCGATTGCGCCAAGGAGAAGGTCACACGCATCATTTTGGCGGTCTTTCGTAATCTAATTGAGAAGCCCGAGGACTCCTCTGTGGCCAAGGATCATTGTATTGCCATGGTGCAATGCAAGGTCTTGAAGCAGCTGTCGATTTTGGAACAGCGTCGCATTGACGATGAGGACATCACAGCCGATGTGGAGTATCTCACTGAAAAGTTGCAGAACTCCGTGCAGGACCTGAGCTCCTTTGACGAGTATGCGACCGAGGTGCGCAGCGGCCGCCTCGAATGGTCGCCAGTCCACAAATCGGCCAAATTCTGGCGCGAGAACGCCCAACGTCTCAACGAAAAGAACTACGAACTGTTGCGCATTCTGGTGCATCTGCTGGAGACCTCAAAGGATGCCATTATTCTGTCCGTTGCCTGTTTCGATATTGGAGAGTATGTGCGTCACTATCCACGCGGCAAGCAGTGAGTCAAACTATCGAGCACAGCGCCTTGCTGCCCATATTACATCGAAATCTCTTTATAGTGTGCTGGAACAGCTGGGCGGCAAACAGATTGTGATGCAGCATTTGGGCCATGAGGATCCGAATGTGCGTTATGAGGCCCTGCTGGCCGTGCAAAAACTGATGGTACACAATTGGTTAGTATGATATACGAATGCTTTAATCTCACCTATCGCACTCAGGTGCCCCTCGATACGCGCACCCGCATTTATACCAATACGGGTGTTATTGCATAATTTCAAGCATTCCCATCACCAAGTTTCGACATCAAATCTCAAAATTGCGTGTGTTTCTTATCGTCTCTCTACTAGGGAATACCTTGGCAAACAGCTGGAGAAGGACAACGAGAACCAAAAACCAGGCGCAGCTCCCATTGCCGGCAAGGCCTAAGGCATCAATATCGCTCAGCTAAACCATGTACAACCGTTAGCCAAGGGATCGCCAGATGCTTTAACAACTTAACTAACAATAAGAGCTGGGGGCGTGGCGTTACATATAGTCGCCACCTCCATCTCCCACGCCCATTAACAATATCGTTTTATTCTTGCTATCATTTAAGCGCATATTTCTTTTTCCTAATCTAAGTACCATAACGAATCCATTACGGATTCCAGATGGTGCCAGCGTTTGTTGTCGAAAACTAATTAATTGTTGCTCTTTGTTGGCATTCCGCACCAGTAGAGAGATGAAGAAGAGTGAAAGTTAATTAGAAAACAGTGCAAAAAATACACAGAAAATTATATATTATTGTCTTCTTGTTTTGTTGTTATTATTGTTTTAATATTTCTACTTTGCGCTGCTGTACAGAGTTTGTCTCACGATTTCTTGCAAGTTCATAGTAAAATTGTATTATATATTATCGCATCGGCGCACATGTACAACCTATCAAGTATTTCTTTTCTTTAAAGCAAATTATAAAAAAAAAAAAACGAAAAAATTATAAATGCAATATTATTAAATGTTACTAAGCGTGTGAAATATCTGCTAATAACTGCAAGTCGTTTACCAAAACCACATTAAATTGTTATTAAAGTGTATGATAAATTTTTGAATGTAAATCAAACATATACATAAATAAATATAAATGAAAATTAAATTTTGTATTCCAATTCGGAACAAAGCTAACTTGGTGAGCTTTTTAAACTTGCTGTTAAGCTTATCAAGAAGAGCTTTAAGAGCTTTAATATTAGCACGTGCTTTATTACGTACCAAATCCCCTCAGAAAAACTAGTTGAATTTCGGTTTTATATTGTTTTTATTTAATTTGTTGTTATTTATCTCGTGGGCGTCACAATTTATTCGGCTTTAAATTAGTTATATCCACTTTATAAATTAAATAATGTAATTGTCCTATTTAAACTTTAAAATTAACATAATTGTATTTTTATGTTCAGTATTCTGTTTTAAATTAGTTGTTATTATTGTGACCCGAATACGTGCCATCATCGTCAAGATCAGCTCGGAGGCGATACTGACACCCGTAATACAGTTTCCTGTCGCTAAGGTGGTGGTGCTGGTGTTTAGGATATGGATGCAGATGGCCTCAACTTTACTTGGTAGCCGATTTCAGGTAAGCGATCAGATCACCACGCTCATTGGGCTTCTTCAGGCCGGCGAAGATCATCTTGGTGCCGGGGATATACTTCTTGGGGTTCTCCAGATATTCGAAGAGTGTGTCCTCGTTCCAGGTGATGCCCTTGGCCTTGTTGGCGTCTGTGTACGCGAAGCCGGGCGCCTGGCCGGTCTTGCGACCGATCAGACCGTGCAGATTGGGGCCCACCTTGTGCTTGCCACCGGCCTCGACGGTGTGGCACTGTGCGCAGCGCTGCACGAACAGCTTCTTGCCCTTCTCAACATCACCAGCTGGTACGCCCATTATAGCTAATAAATATTTGATGTGTTAACACCGACTCGACTGGAAAGAGAGGGAAGCAGGAAAGCAATTAGAGTCGTTATATAAACAATAGATAATTGTTAACGCTAGCAAATTTTTATCAACATTTTTGTCGGCCCGACGCATTAATCAGTCGCACTGATAGCAACAACACACGCCACCTATTAGTAATGCACCCTACACTAAACCATTAGATTATCTAACATCCTCCAACCCAGACCCAACTGCCCGCCCAAAGTTCATTCAACGTTCTTCACGCGCAAGAAGACGAACAACGTCATCAAACACACAGACACACACTCATACACCTACACATGAGCTGGTCACATGTTGTCGCTGTGCAGTGTTGGCAAGCAAAAAAGCTAACGGCGGTATGTACAAAATAAATAAGCTAAAAATTTCGTAATGCTGAAATTATAAAGCTGCCACTTAAATAATAATAGATAACAAATCTGGCAATGCGACGCTTTGAACATAGTATCTACATAAATTCTACTGTATTTGCATTATTATTATTTATTTACAGCCACACTAACCTAAAAAAAAACGCCAAATTTGACGGAAAAAAACAAGAGCTGGCTACACTGTGCTTTGGCATCACAAGTAAAATCTTAATTGTGTCCGATTTTTCTCCCGCACGGCAACAGGCTAAAACTCCAAAGTCGCAACACTTTCCAGTTATACAGTTTCAGTGTCTATGTCGCGGTCAGCATTAAATCGAGCCAGCGGCTTATCCTATGACTAATTGCATCGCATGCAGTTATGCGAACTTGAACAATTTGTTGCGTGCGAGAGCGAAGCTACATTGGAATGGGTAAGTCACCTACACAAGCAGACTGGCACGCACACATATACACATTTTAGAGAGTGATTACATGAAAGGCGACAATGTCATCTAGCTGCCGGCCTTGGCGAGATATAAAAACCACTTTTTCTATAGGAAATGCATTGGAAGCAGGCCAAATACTGATGCTTTTGTCTCTGTGTGTGTGTGTGTGTGTGTGTATATGAGGATGCGAGCGAGCAGGTTACAATGAAATTAGGCCAGTGCTGTTCTCGCAAGAGTTGAATTGATTGCATAAGCGAACTGCGATTTTCCAACAAAAAGAAAAAGGCATCAAGTGGGAAATGAAATTCGCAACTTGCTTAGCAACCACGTGGCGCGCAAATTAAAATTCTACGAATTGGAAGCGAAATTCGTTCATTAGCTAAAGCGTGGGAGCGAGATAGCAAATGATCGTGTGCTCCTTTTGACACTAGGTTTGCTCATGTAATCGACTCGCGCTCTTTTCGATGTCAATGTGACTCTTAATGTATGCATACATATATATATATGCATGAATATCATATATCTGATATTTTGAATAATAGTTGTTAACTTTTGCACTTTTACGCACACTTTTAGCATTTACATTAACACATGTATACACACACACACACCCTTGCATAAACAGTCACACGTTTATGTAACGCAAACAACCCCCAAAAAATATATATTTTGCATGCGATACTTTTTTCTGTTACACTTTGAACATAAATGCGATCATACATTATGTAAGAAATTCTCAAGGTGCATTAGTATTTATCACACAATCATTTCTACACTTTGAACACACTTAATCAATAACTCAGGGTTTTATATATTTTATATTTACGTCATTGTTAAACTCCGGCTACTTACATTGAACACAAACCGTCGTTTACTGCGAACAGTTAGCTTACGAATGAGACAAAAAATCCCCATTGGCCAAACTGTTTGGCGCAGATGAGAATCGTTATCGTAACGAAATATCGATATACGAAAATAAACGATACTTAGCCATGACATTGAATATATACAAAAACAATATTTTTGTTTAGCTGATACGTTTCATACGTAAGCTCCAAATGCAAACACTAGTGTAAGCCCAAAGCCACACTTGTTAAACATTCGCCAAAATATTGATGACATTTTTTTCAATATCTCTTAATTTTTGAAAACGTTATAATATATCGATATTTTCTATTATACATATACTTTATTCTTGCACATCCATTTTGCTTATTGCTACGGAACTTTCATAAAATATATAGAATTAACATCTGCGCAAGGGTATGACAGAAGGCTAAATGCTATGTCACGCTGAGTGTTGTAAAGCACTATTTGTTTGGAATGCAGGCGCGAACATTTAAATTTTATTTAAACGGAAATTTTTGAATATTTTTTCTTCTATCAAAATACACTAGAAATTTCTGATCATATTCCATTAAAGAAAATAAATTTGATGGTGTATGTGAGCTTTAATTGTATTCCATAATATTAATAAAAAATAAATCGAAACTATTTAACTATTTTAGATGGCACCCTCCCCAGTTTTTGTTTTGTTTTTTTCTTTTTTTTTGTTGTGTCCCTTATTATTTATTTGATTTGAGGTAAGCAATCAAATCTGCGCGATCCTCAGCTTTTTTGAGCCCGGGGAAAACCATTTTAGTGCCGGGTATATATTTCTTTGGATCCTTCAAATACTCATCCAGATTTGCGTCTGTCCAGACGATGCCCTTCTTGATATTAGCATCAGTATATTTGTAGCCAGCCGCAGTGCCGCATTTGCGCCCAACAATTCCGCCCAGATTAGGTCCCTGCTTATGCTTGCCGCCAGCTTCAGCTGTGTGGCATTGGGCGCATTTTTGAACAAAGATCTTCTTGCCATTCTCCGCATCAGCACCCATGTTTGAATGTGATTTGCCTATAATAATAATAAAAAAAAAAAGTTAGTTAGTTTTCTTTGCGAGCTTTTAACTAATGGTTTCCTTAAAACAAAGCCTGGCGTGGCCTTCAGCTCACGCCTCAAGGACATCGCTGACATAAGAGGGCGCGGTAGGCAAATGGTGGGCGGCTGGGCGGTTGGATTGGTTTTTTTTTCGTCGCTCCTTTGTTGAGCTTATGTCACGACAACGTCAGCCTGAGCCACGCAGTCTGCCAAGTTAATTGCCTAGCGCGCAGAATGTGGGTGTGAATGTGGGTGTGAATGTGGGTCGTTGCGTGCGTGCATGGTAAATGTGGAAAACGTGGCTAACTGCAGTCGTGGCCGCTTACTCACATGCAAAAAATAGAAGTCGCCGTCAAAACTAGCAATTTATACATATGCATAATGTATGCTTCTATGTATGTATGTATGTATGTACATTCATATGTATTCAACACAAAACATTTTTCGCCAATTCATCTTGAGTATTCTATTCTATTCTATTTATAGCCGCCAACTTTTACAGACAATTTAATTGCCGCCCAATAAATATGAGTGTGTGTGTGTGTGCGCGTCCACTTAAATTAAATTAAACATGTATCGATGATGACAAACATGATGACAACTGCACGCTCTCTGAGCTTTTCTGTTGTTTTTGTTTTTTTTTTTTGACACTCTCAGCTGCACACAACTGTTTTTACGAGACAAAGATAGCAATAGCATAGGAATTGGGTCAGACAAATGAAAATGGGTAAAATGGAACAAAGAGTAAAGCATAGCGCACGACTTTTGCGTCAAAGTCTAATGGCACCAGTAAACGGCGGCCATAAACAACGGTAAATATGTGTGTATGTATGTATGTATGTACGTATGTATGGGCATATGCACAAGCACATGCATGTTGTATGTACATAATTCAATTAGCTGGAGCCCTTGAGCAACGCAGCCTACGACAACATGTGCTTTGAACATTTCCTTTCAATTAAAACGCATTTTACGCATGTTTCTTGCGGTTTACGCAAAACCAGATGCCGCCAAACAACACGCAAAGCACAAACTACAAAACAAAACAGGAAGCAGTGTAAGAGGAAGAGAGCGAAAGCGAAAGAGCAAATGGCTGAAATATACAGTTACTTAAAATGTGTTTGTCTCTTGTGCTGCCTTTAGCGGTTTGCATCAGGTGTTTTGCCAACCCTCTGGCCTGACCTAACCCAATTTGTGTTAACCATAAATCTTGCACAGACAACGCCTCTGCCTCTGATGCTGCGGATGTGGCCTGCAGTCGCCTCCTGACCGATGACCACTATAAATAAATGACGCATGGAATTGAATTACGCTTGAGCTAACAGTTGTATGGTGGGAATAGGGAAAGTTTAGCGCCGGCGACGAGTTGGCCAGGGCTGGAGAGATGCATTGCAGTTGCAGTCTATATAAAGCATGTAGCTGTGTCATCGGAACAAACAGAATAAACCATAAAAAAGGGGGGAGAAGAAAGAAAAATTGAAAAAAAAAAAAATAATAACATTCGCATTGCTCACGTGGATTTGTTGCTGTTGCGCAATTTCTTTTTGGCTTTGATGTCGCCCGAAATCAACCACCCACCCACTCACCCACAAAAACACCCGCTGTTATGGGCTGTGTGGCTGCATAGAAAAACCCTACGTTTTCATTGTGTATGTTTCAAATTGTTTATTTTGTGTTGTTCCTGTGCTCTGCTGACGCTGACGCTGCTGCTGCTGCTGCTGCTGCTGGCTGTGGGGCTGCCTTTTTTCTAGAACGAGGTCGCTGACTGCCCTTCAACGCGATGCCTGAGACTGAGACGACGTCAAGTTACATAAGCAGCAGCAGCAGCAGCAGCGACGTTAGTTGGCTTTGGCTTTTATGCTACTCTTGCCAAATTTCCCCCATTTCAAATTTACATGCAGCGCACACGGAAAAAGAGAGAGAGAGAGAGAGAGAGAAAGAGAGAACGTGTGAGAGCGCCAGCATAGAGCGTGTGCCATGCAGCTGCATTAGTAGCGTGGGAAAAGTGAATGAAAAATGTGTTTAAATTTTTACCAAGCGATATGCATCAATTTATAACGTTTTTTAACCTATGCATCCCGCTACGTACACACCGTATGTGCATATTTATATTAATGCGCTGCATGCGAGTGCAGCGCGTGGGCAGCAGCAACAAATAGCGACAACACAACTTTACGCTCACCTGATTGACGACTCTCACGAGTAACGGTCTGTGCTTGTTGCTCTGCCTCCCACTATTCCTATGCTGAGCGCCAAGCTGCGCTGGTGTTGCTTTTGCTGTTGCTGCTTCGCTCTTACTCTCTTCGCTGCTTTTGCTTTTTAACGGCGGTAAGGCTGCTGCTGCTGCTGCTGCTGTTCGAGCACTGCGTGCGTTTTCATTCAGTCGACTGAGCTCGCGGCGCAAGGTTCTCGTTTGTTTTGGCTTCTGCTATTCTCAACAGTTCGTTTTGTTGGCAAGTCTTACGCGTCGTGTGAATTGGGAATAAAACAATTGAAAAGTTACGACGATTTTGCTTAATAGAACGGAAAATTTGTTAGCAGCATTAACGTCGAAAGCTAGCTGCGTTCTGATCTGTTCTGTCTGATTTCTTAACACACACTCCGACAAAACGTGGGCGACATCTGTCAGAAGCCTGCTAGATTCCATTCAAAATCTACACACTTATCGAAGCGTAGCGTCTAGAAAAGGCGCTGCCAACTCCTGATTTTACGGTAAGTATTGCCAACTTTGCATACAAATTCAGTGTTGTATAATGCTGTCTAAGCGAAGCATTAGAAGGCGTCACTTCATTTGTGTCCTTGGGTGGTTCGTGTCCTTGAAAGCGTAAAAATCAAGTGGCTATCATCTATGTGTGTGTGTGTGTGTGTGTGTGTGTGTGCGAGCTAGGTTGTTACGCATTTTACGTAATCAGTCCAAGTTTATGGTTCGCGTTTCACTCAATCGTAAATCTGAGCTCGTTTTTCATTTGTTTTTAAGACCCAATTTAGGTTAAAACCTAGTTCCTTACTATGGCTCATTTATTCTAAATATTGAAAGAATTCGCTTGGTTAGTTGATGGAATGTGGTCTGAATATAAAACTGGGATGCGGACGCTGAGAATATGTTATGTGTGTGGCATGATGCATGCGATGGAAAAGCATGAATGTGGCAACTGTTGCTCTTAAATATAAAAATGTTTTAATGCTGAATTGCAATCAGAATAAAATATATTCAGATCTGCTTCAGGAATTCCAGACTTAGCTATTTTTATTTATTATTTATTTAAAGCAAAAGAAACTACTGAAGGCATTATGCAATCACTAAATCAATATTTTTCTAAAAGAAAAATGCACATAAATCCAAAAATATTTGATTTGCTTAAGGTATACAAAGAATTTTGTCTGCTAAAAAAGATTTATTGAAGCAAAAATAAACAGCCTTTCAGAATCGTATGTAATGCTCCCTCCGCATGAAGTCTGCTAAATTAAAGTAAAAAATATTAAGGTTATTTAGCTGCTATGAAGCACACTTAATTAATGTTGCTTTAAGTTTGAATTTGCTTGGCATGTTGATGAAGTTTTTCTGGAGCACTCGAAAGAATGTTAATTTCATCTCACATATTTCTTTTCTTTTTTTTTTTTTTTTCATTTTATGTTCACATCAACATGTCCTTTCAGCTGGTTTCTCGACTCTCTGGCAACGTTAACAATGTGCTTTGTTTATTAATTACTTTGCCTCTTTGCGTTAGTTGCATTGCCTGCCTCTATATGGGCCAATGAGCATTGTGGTCCGCCCACTTTGGGTTGCGCCCACTGTACACACAGCAGGCATCAATTGTGGCTATCATATTGTTATTAATTCGCTTATGTGCCAGCACTTAAAGTACATCATTTATATTAATTAAGAGTGGCACAGTCACATAAACGTTGGCATATTGAAATAATGTTAACATTTTGCCATTTAATTGATTGTTACTGGGCACAAATATACGCATATAGCGAAATAGTGCGTCATAATTCCGTATAGTATCTGTTAACGTTCTATATGTTAGCCCAGCTGTGCTTGTATTTAATTTGGGTCAACTCCAACGCGGGCCACATTGCCCAATCTGTTATGTGTGCCGCGCTTCTATTTATATTTATTTATTTATTAATGGTCGACAAAACGAGTGTCTTCCTCATTATTCAACAGGTTGTACAATATAAGTATATTCTAAAAGCCTAGTTAAAGGATACAATTTTCTAAATAGCATCACCGACCGATGGAGGTGTTTTATTTGCCAGTCCGGCCAGCTGTGCCCCTTTTCACAGCTAATTTTGTCAGTGACGCTATTAGAGCCTACATCTAAGCAGAAGGTTGTAAGTAGGAAAAAAGTGATCTCAAGTGAAATTAAAAATAATCTTAATTTGCTAAATTAATAAAGAAAATACAATAAATAGGAAAAAAGAAAGTAAGAAAATTGTTAATAAAGTAAAGCAATGTAAGTTAGATAAAGAGTGTTAAGTGGATAGGACAAAGAGAAAAGTATTGGGAAATCACCGACACGGTGGGGGAAAATTTTTCAGCCTGTCCGGCTAGCTATGCCCCTGCTCATAGCTGGGAATGGTCAGCGACTTCCCGAAGGTATCCTGAAAGCAACGATTTTATTAGGGGTAGAGACAGTTCGGTAGAGAAAACGTGATGCAAACTATTATAATTTTTACATAGCACGCGAAAAGAATTGTGCATAGCGTAATCAGTTGTGCACGTAGATAGTAATAAGGGGCGATAATTTCTGGTTGGTCTAGCCGGAACAGAGAATTGAAGACGCCCTAGCAGAAAAGGAGAATCAATGTCGCCAATAATCAACTTATGTAGAAGGACAACACCGAGAATTGTCCTACGGTTGATTAACGACGGAAGGTTGAGAAGAAGCAGTCTGCTGGAGTAGGACGGCAACCGAAGATTAGGGTCCCAATTTAAACCTCGTAAGGCAAAAAGCAGAAATTGCTTCTGAACAGATTCAATACGATCCTGGCTGTTGATATACTGTGGAGACCAGATGCAAGAGCAGTATTCAAGGATAGGGCGAACAAGAGAGATGTACAGATCAGCCATATCGTTAAATGCACTTGGTTCCAAAAAAACTGAAAAGAATTATTCCCAAAATAAGTACATGTGGACACACACACACACACACACACACACACACACACACACACATCTGTGCAGCAATGAGTACCCGATTTTCGAGTATGAATACTCCTATTTATCGCTGTGTTATCGCTGAGGTTACAAGTATAGCCCAGAGACTCGGGGAAATCAATATTTGTGGCCCAAATAAAAAAGAATAAAGAGCCCAACAACAAATGAAACCCAAAGCCAGGCATTAGACAGATTATATCACTCGGGGGGCGTGCGACCACTTGCCCGATAAGTCACAGTTTTCCTTAATATATTTTCCCCCTCAACTTGCTCGTGTGCATTCTTTTTTTTTTTTTTTTTGTTAACAAACATGCAATAAACTGAAATGGAGGGCGTTAATTTATATGAGTTTCATAGTCAAGGGAAAATTCTGATTCAGGTTTGGGACCACAAGACTTCGCTATGGTCGGACTCAAAAATTCCGCAGACGGCATCAAAATGGCACTCACTTAAGAACTTCTATTTCGGGTGTTTTATAAACTTGTTGCCTTTTGATGGTGAGAATACAAATATTTGATTAGATTGAGTAAAATGAAATATAATATTCAACAGAGTTATAATGAATTATAATGTCCAAATTTTATGTAACATCAAACATACAGTATTATAATGAACTTTAGTCTCAAAGACAAGATCCGAAATAACACTCTTACGAGTGTTTTTATTGTAAATTATATTATATTAAAGGCCAACTACTTAAGAGAGATTTGTTTCTTAAATGGTTTTCAATCAATTGTCAAGACACGTTCTATTGGAGCTGAATTATGTTGATGGCATGAATAAATCTTATTTATTCAAATTGTTTCTTGAGTATGCAAAACAGTTGCAAACATTGATTGAATGCGATTGACATCAAGTTAATGACTAGCCAGCACTTGTAGCTTATTTAGAATTTGACCCAACTCCAGAGTTCTGAGCGTCAGTTCTCAGCTCTGTGCAGAAATTGAAAATGTACACAAATTAAGCTGAGGAAATAAACAAGCCTGGAGTGCTTCATATTGATGATGCGCCAGGAAAATGAGAATGAAATTTATTAAGTTTTGATAGACAACTGCGCGCACTTGACAGACAAACAGACAGACAGACAGCTGGGCAAGAATACGATTGACTGACTGACTGACTGACGGACTGACGGACTGACAAATCATGCCAATTAGACTTAAACGAAAATCGATGAGCATTTCGCGCCCAACTCATCCTATGTCAGCTCTAGAAAAGGTCAAATTGTAAAGGGCGTATAGAGTTGATCAAATATGCAAATGGTGCTCAGGTCAATTTCATTACAGGTGTGGCTCAGGTGTGCGTGTGCGTGTGTGGTCCCAGTCGCAACAAAACTAACAGTCATCTCTGTTTGCTCACGCCGCACGCTCACAGAAAAAACAAGTAAGTGTGCTCTAGGCGGGATGCCCGACTAGGGGAAGAACCTGAATCTTTTTCTACCAAACGAAATTTTTGCTTCGTTAGCAATATAACGAAAGATACTTGATCTGTATATAATATTCTAGATGTCCAATATGGTAAAAAAACAAGATTTCGATATCGATTCTTATCGATTGCTTGTAAACGGGAAAATTTATCGATATATCAAACCTCTATCTGTTATAAGACGAATGGGTAGTCAAATATATCGACTAGATCGACTCTGCAATTGATGTTGATTAAGAATATATATATTTTATGCGATGGCAGATGTTTCCTTCTGCCTGTTACATACATTTGCCTAAAAACATAATGCCCTTTCTATTCATTTTGTCAATCGGTTTAATGGGTATGAAAAGAAAACCCAATGCAAACACTTGAACACGCGTGTGTGTGTGGTATGAAAACTGAAAAACTCAACTAGTTTTTCTCGTCCAGAGTTCAATTGAATTTTATGTGCTTTTTGGTTTTATTATGTTTTTGTAAATTAATTTCGTGCACGTTTGTTTTCGTCGCTAGTTTTACGAGCTTTACAAATGATGCTGAAAATTGTTTACCAAATCATTTGAATGAAGGCCATTAGTTGTGCTGCCTTCGCGGCATTTCTTATCAGGCGCTTCAAACAACACACATTTTCCCATCATTATGTAAACAGCTGGCCCCTTAGCCCCCTCCACCAAACCGCGGCCCCTTAACGAGTGTGATTAGGGGTCTCAGCTAATGAGCCACAGCGAGAGCATCGCAATTTCTTGTGGCCAACTTTGAACTTCGTAAGTTTTTCTGTATTTGCTTTGACTATTTATTTATTGATTCTCCTCAATTGTTTATTATCGTAACTGTTTCTGTGCGCATTTTATGCGCAATAATGTTCGAATAATTGCAATCTATAGTTGAACGCGGCGTATGCGCAATATCTGGCAAAAGCAGGAAACGCAGAATGCCGTCAGGTCTGCGTTTCTGTAGGTAATGTATTTGGGATGTGCCTATAATTGTGACCATGTCTGGATTGTTTTTTATCGATTTACATAAACACACAAACGGGGTGCGTAGATTGATATACTCATGCGTTTGGTTTGAGCGTAATTGTTGTTTGAAAAGTTTAAACAAATCATCAAAATGCTGGCAAAAC